ACCACACACACACTGTTCCCACCACCATAGCACCTCAAACCAGCCAAGTGGCAAAATGCACCCAAAATCTGGAAAAAGCCTTCTACCAGTCATCTTAGAATAGCAATAGCTTCTGTTCCAGCCAGTGCTGTCACAGGCAGCTTAATCATGGTAATTAGGACCCACATTAAAACATGATTATAACATAAAATTGGAATTAACTGTATAACACATCCAAATTTTTCGGTATGCTTATTGATTTTCTTCCCCTGCTAATCAGAGGGCTACAGTAAATTCAGATAGATCTGGTATAATTAAAACTGAGCCTGTAAATGCTAGTGAAAACTCTAATTAGCATCTGTCTTTTGTTAAGGACAGCGAGGTGGGAATGTATATTTTCACAAGGAACATAATCAGTGCATTCATGTTTCTTTCCTGGAAGCTAGTTGGGGCAGGTTATGCTGTTCTCATCTCTTTTTAAGAATTATTTTGAAAAAAGATGTACATTGTAAAGACATCTAAGAAATGCCTAAACAAGAAGTGGTTGGTTTAAAGAAAAACAATTAGTCAAACCTGGCTATTGGAGGGATGCCGACAAAACAACCAACGGAACTGTTCTCTGCTCTGTATGGTAAAATGGTTTTGAAATCAGGCAACCTTGAGTGCAAGTCTTCACTCTGCTATTTGCTAGGTATGTGATCTTGAAAAAGTGTTGTTTTGCCTGTCTGAGCCTCAGTTTCTCATCTGTGAAGTGAGGATGACAGAACCTCCCTAGTAGGGCGATTGGGAGGACTAATGTGATCACAGGCTTTCAGCGTGTAGTAATATGTTCACAATTAGGAGTTGCTATCATCTTCATCATCATCATCACCGTGATCATCCACCCCACAACTATCATCTGCATCATCATTTTCATCATCATTATTATTTTCATCCAGTAAAGAGGAAACTTGCAACACCTGCCATGGCTCTGGTGAGCTGTGTGGTGCAGTAGACACACCATGACTTTGGATGCAGGTAGCCCTCTGACCTGTGCCACTTCTAAGGTATGCAACCTCAGATAAGTCATTACTGAGGTCATTACTCTAAGTAATGACTTAATGATAAGTCATTACTCTAAGTCTGTTTCCTCGTTTGTAAAATGAGCACAATTTTCAAGGGAATGTTGTGGATGTGATGAGACGTGTTTTATGCCCTGCATGGAGCTAGTCACTTTAACCGATGTTGACTCCCCAACCCCAATATCCAGTCTTGTGTCCTCGACAGACTGCTTTGGTTGGTTGTGGTATATCTCAGGCAAGTATAGAGTATAAAATCAAGAGTCTCTGGGTCTCTAATCACCAGCCTTTGCTCAGAGGCATGCGTTTGCTCTTCTGTGCTGCCTCCTACAAAGCTGATGTTCCACTGTCATGGCCTTAATTGCTGGGGAGTGTTTCTGCATCGTATGTGTAGAAGATACTGTAGAGTGCGTTAAATATTCCACATGCTCATGTGCATTTCCTGCCTCCCTTGTGGTTAGAGTGAGGCCACGGGACTACTTCTAACCAACAGATTATGAGCAGAAATATGGCACTTGTATTTGGAGAGAGTTAAAGGGCAGTGGCCAGGAAGCCACATGTAGAGGTCAAAACTACAAGACATAAGCGACCTAGATCATCAAGTCACTGCAGTGAAAATAGCTGTCCTAGAGAGCAGCTGAAACCCCATGGGACTTCTGTGAGTGAAAAAAAAAATCATTGTATTAAGCCACTGGAGTTTTGAAGTTTATTTTTTATGATGACATAACCTAAACTATACTGATTCAAACAATGAGGGGGCTCTACAATCAAGTCTGCTGTGTTGCTTGTGCCTCTTGCTCTGAATGTATTAATTGCTTGGAGGCTATTGCTCATTCCCAGACTGATGGATCTTCCTCCAGACAGATTTTGAGTAGACTGGAGGGGACCAGGAACTTCTGAGTCCAGAGATTTGTCATGATGCTAATGCCCTTTTATGCAACCTGCAGCTGTTCCCTCACAGTTCCGATGCCTCAGAAGACTGAGAAGAAAGAACATGGAAAGCCCAAAATATCAGGAGTCTTGATTGGCCCCAGTGGCATTGACATGTCAAACACCATGGACAGCTATTGTTTTTCACTTGACCACAATCCACACCCACATTTATTTATTTATTTATTTCCTTTTCAGCTGGTCAGTACAGGGATCTGAACCCATGACCTTGGTGTTATAAGGCTGTGCTCTAACCAACTGAGCTAACTGGCCAGCCCTCCACTTTTATTTTGATATCAGCACCTTCGTCTTTTTTTGAGAACCATTTATTACATGCAAGCTTGATGGAGTTGTCTATCTTTGCCCAAGAGGAGGGCACATAACTTAACTTTGGTAGTTGATTCATACCAAGTGCAGCCCCTTCAAAGGACTGGGTTGAGTTCCTGCTTCCTTAATCCCTAGAACTGCTTTGTTGTTGTCCCCAGGCCTGCTTTTCCAACTGTTCTTTGGTCTGCAAGATACCCCTATCCTTCTAACAAAGCCCTTCCACTTTGCCCTGGCTAAATTTAGTCAGCATCAGCTCCTTTCCACCAAAGAGCCCTCAGTAATATACAGTATGAATTTCATGCAATATCAACAAAGCCCCTATCACGGGCTGGTTGTCTTGCTGGATTCTGTTGCTCTATTATTCTGTTTGGAATGCATTTTATGATAGATGTAGACATAATCAAGTAAGTAAATATAACTAAGTAAACATAAGTCAGAAAATAAAGAAAATGTGGTTTTACTTATTCATTCGACAAACATACTGCGAATGCCAACTACAGGCAAATGTGCTTCCAAGTGCTGAGGATAAAGGAGTGAACAAAACAGACCAAAATTGCTGCCCTCCCACAACTGTCATTCTAGCTGGAAGAGGCAGACATAACGCAAACAAGTAACAATATAGAGGATTCAGATCCTGAGAAGTGCTACGGGAAGAAATAAAGCAGGACAGGAGGACAGAGAGCACATCAGGTAGGGACCGGGATAAAGAGAGGCTGCAATTTGAAATGAGGGAAGACCTTCCTGAGATTTGAGCAAAACCTGGATAATAGAGTTGTGTGTTCTTTTGTCCTTGTTTCCAAATTCCATTTTGCAGGTGACTTGGTTTATAGGGCTGTTGTGGGAACATTTAATAACTTTACAAGTATGTGACACTGAATAAGTACACAATAAACATCAGCTAGAAAACAAGAGCGAAGAAGCCACCATTCAGATGCCAAGTTAGTGCTGGAGTATTCAGGGATCACCAGCACTCACCCCCACCCCCATTCCAAGCCATCACCCTCAGGCTGCTGTGTCCCTGGGCCCCAGGCAAAGCCACTGTTCCTTCAGGCCCTAAAAACTGCTGAGGCTGCATCTTCAGAGACTGGTACAATCCCCGGATCACACCTCCCAGGTTGCTCTAACTAGGAGCCTACGGAGGCTCCAGCTGCTGGCTGGTTCTACTGCTCCTGCCACCCACCTCCTGCTCAGGAAGAACTCAGGGAGAGAGAGACAGAGAGAGAGAAGGAAAGAAACAGAAAAACAGGGAAATGTATAACCCAAGCCAGAGAGAGGCAGGTGGAACTCCAGGCCCTCTGCAATGGGTTAGTGGGTTTTGTTCCAGGTGGACAGGGTACTTCTAACATCTCCAGTTCCTTCCTGATGCCCCACTCTGGTGGCCAAGGGCATGGATTTGGCACAGAGGTGGACCTGGGTTCAAATTCTATCTCTGTCATTGCCAGGACATGTGAACCTGGGCAATCTCACCACTCTCTCAGTCTCAGTTAAATAATGCCAACTTCATAGGTTAAAGTGAGCATTATGATGTGAGCCACAGAAAGCACCCAGACACGTGCCGAGCACAGAGTGGGCACTCAGTCAACATTAGATGCTGCTATTATCACTAATCAGATATTGGGATCTTGACTCAGTTCTGGCTCTGGGTCCTCAGAGTCTGAGGTGGAGTCAGCCCCAGAAGAGACCTGGTTGCTGCACATTCACAGAGAGCCATGATTGGGACTCTGAATGGAAACCTGGAGCCCAGTGGCTCTTGGCTCTGGCTGCACACTGGAATCACCTGGGGTACTTTTAAAAACATAGATGCTTGGGCCCACTCCCAGACAGTCTGGTATAATTAACTTGGGGCATAGCTTGGACATGGGAATTTCTAAAAGCTCCCAGATGATTCCAAGGTGCATGCAAGGTTGAGAAGCACTGTCCAGGGCTTTTATTTAAATCCCCCACATTTATTCCCAAAGCGGGAGGTACACACAAACATCATGTCCCAGGCAGCCTCTCAGACAATCTGATTTTCTTTTTCTTGACAAGCATTGGTTGAGTATCAACTGTGGTCTTGGCACATTGTTAGACACTGAATAAGGCACTTGGAGTCCAGGTGGCCACACAATTGATAAATGCTATGCTTGAGGGGGCTGTGGGAACAGGGAAGAAAGTAATCTCACCCAGATTAAAGGAGGGATGGGTGGAGAAGGAGGGGGTTGCAGGGCCATGCCTAAGCCAGAACTTGAAAAAATGAGTAGCAGTTGGACTAGCAGAGAAGTGGGAGGAAAGAGGGCAGCCCAGGTGGCTCAAACAGCTATTGCAAATGTGTGGTGGTATGAAACATCAAGTAGAGAGAAAGAAAATGAGGAGGGGGGTGCCTGCAGGCAGGTCTATGTGGCAGGGGACAAAGGGCAGGAGAGGAAACCACATAGCAGAGGCCTTACAGCCATGCTCAGACCTGTAACCTTCATATCATGGGCCCTGGGGAACCATGGGAGGCTGTAGGTTGAGGGGCTATAGGTAAAGTTTTATTCTGTGCATAAGACTTCAGTTTGCTGTTGAGAGCCAGGGCGTGGGGCATCTGGAGAAGGAAAAGGCTTTGTTTGGCAATTTCCGCCCAAGCAATTTTATTCCATTTCCTTCCATCATGTAGAAACCTGACGTTATCCTGAGAACGTTACTGCCATGGTAACGGTAAGAGAAACAAACAATACACGCGTTGTATAAAATTGTACATAAAGGCTGTTTATTTTTCATACCATTATTTTAATAGGTGGGGATGGTAGTGATGGGCTGGGAAATAGCAGGCTTTAATGGCGCTGCCTTTTCTTGAAATGACTTGAAATGCTCACAGACATTCAGACATTGGCACTTAGATCATGTCTCTGGATGGGAAACCCCGCTGGTTTAGAATCTCACCACCAGGAAGCATCACCTGTTCCTGGGTCTGAAAGGCAGTGTTGCCAAGTGGTAATATTCTTGAGCTGGAGGTCAGGCAGCCCTAGATTTAAGCCAGTTCTGCCACACTTCCTGATTAGTGACTGTTGGCAAGTTCCATCACCCTCTGAGTCTTCGTTTACTCATCTGCAAAGTGGGTATTCATTCACTCATTCAAAATTCAACAAGACTTCATTGAAAACCTCCCATGTGTTTGTATTTAAAAAGGGTCCTTGTATTCATGGGGCTTAGAATCTATTGAGAGAACACAAATAATATACCTGAAAACACAAAAATAAATAAGAAAGATAATTTTAGATAGTGATATGTGCTAAAAAAGATTTAAAACCAAGGAAATTCTCTCTAAGGAGGTGCCATTCTATCTGACCATGGAAAGATTAGAAAGAGCCAGCTGTTTATATATCAGAAAGAAATGCCTTCCAGGAAGGGGAACAGCAAGAGGAAAGGCCCAGGCCAGTCTGAGACTGAAATGTATGCAGCTGGAGCTATGTAAAGGGAGGTACAAGATTAGGACAAATAGAGAGGAGGAGCCAGATCAGGAGAGTCCCATAGTCTGGGGTAGGAGTTTGGAGCATAATAATGCAAACCTCCAAGGGCAGTTGTGAGAACTAAGTAAAATACCAAATGGGAAACTCTAAGCAGCTTCTTTAAAATGTTAGCTTTTACTCTCACCTGTAGTGGAATCCATCATTTCTTGGATATGGAAGCTGATGCCATAGAATCATTGAATTTCAGGACTGGGAGATCATTTTTTCTAGTTATTCTACCTTTTCATATGTGTAATTTAAAGATCAGAGAGGGTAAAGGACTTATAGAACACACAGGAGCTAATGGAAACTCTGGGCTTTCCAATTTCCATTCACTGTCCCTTGAGTTCTTGAACTCAAGCTTGTGCCTTGATATCTCAGAGGAAATTCCTTGGCCTCTGTTCCCACTGGTGCCACTTCTTTCTTGGGAACAGCTTGAAGTAAAGGAAAACCACAGACTCGGTGCTCTTGAGTATGTCATGTCTCTCTCTGAGCCTCAAAGGGTCCACGGACATTAGTCCTCTTCTCCCCACCCTGCATCCTCCTGAGTACAGAGGCTGGGCTTTGGCTGCAGAGCTGGGAGAAAGGACAAGATATTGATTAGCAGGGACCTGATCTAGCCTGGCCTTTTCAGTATTCCATATTGAAGAGAGTGGTGAGATTTGAGAGGAAGGCAAAAGGCTAAAGATTGTTTCTGGAATTGAAGAGAACAGTGCTGCTTTTGTTAATTCAAAGTGAGGCAAGACTCATGAAAAATGGGTTAGATTGGCTAAGTCCCTGATGGGCTTGGGAGGTTTACTTGTTCTGTACCTTTAACCCCAGCTAGACTTTCTTCTAGGTCTAGACATACATAAATACACTTTAAAAACCCCATGAGAGAAGAGCTTTCTATAGCATTTGTGCTCTGTTTTTTACCTACAGTTTATACGATACATTATCATTGCTCCTGTTTGTTGAGCACCTACTACAGGTTGGGTGCTCAGTTCGTCACTGAACAGGCATCTCCCATCTTACCCCACAATAACCCTATGAAGTACTTACTAATATTCCTCACATTGTATAGACAAGAAAACTGAGGTTTAAAAGTTACTCATGTTGGAGGGAGCTCTGGCTCAAACTCAGGCATGTTTAACTCCAAATAAACCTACAGATTCAAAAGGATACAGGGGCTTTTGGGGTCCCCTAACATGAAAGTCTTAGAGTAAACCATAGGTGTGTGCTCCTGTGCTGACACAGGCTATTCTTTATGCTCTGAGAAATGTACATGTCACAGTTTATAATGCCAACAAAGTATATAAATAAACACAGTATCTTTAATTGTTTTTTTTTTCTCACTTTTGAGGCCCAAGAACATAACCCCGAGTCAGGAAATCTCCTCTGTGTTTGCAGGATCTTGACTGTGGGATCTGTTATGATCCGATATGTTTGTCCCTCTCTTTCAGCCTCCTTTGTGTTCCTGCCATTGCTCTGGTTTACCTTCTCGTCTGACCAGACAAGCCTTTGGAGAATGCATATCCATCTTGCAGGCTCACTTTGTATTCCGTAAACTTTCTGTTTGAAAATGAAGGCATTGTCTCTCTGTTGAATCTCTACCATGAATGGGCATTTCTCAAGAGCCAGGGCAGGTGGTATAAACAAACCAAGCATTTCCAAGGAAACCAAAGGAGCATAACAGCTTCTTTCCAGGTAATGTGGACTAACTGGATGGGGTTGGCTGTGTCACAGTTTATCATTCCCTTGTTAGCATCTGGCCAGATTGATGTGAGGACACAAGTTTGCTGAATGGGGCTGCACAGACACATCTGCAAGTTATTAAGACCAGACTGAAAACAGAACATGAAAACACTGGTTACTCTGCCTTCTACTCAAAGACCCAGGGTAACTCTGTTTCCTAGGCTATACTATTGCTGGGCCTTTTAAAATTTTTCCTATTTACTCTCTCCCTCTGTTTTAAGATGACTTCTCTTGTATTCCATTTTTACTCCAAGACAAAAGATTTTTCCCCCTTTTTTCCCTCAGTGATTAAAATCTTCCCAACAACCAGATGTTCCTGAGGGAAATACACGATGCTGAGTTTGGGTGGGGTGGGGACGGGAGTAAATGCTGTGTATTGATGGAGAGAGTGGTCACTGAGCCCTTAATAAATTATGACCTGTGTATGGCATCATAGATATGGCATCACAGAAACATGATGGCAGTGGATACGACTGATTGCAGGATCCTGCTGCAGCCTCGGGTCCTTGTACTTGCTGTGTCTTCCACCTAGAATGTGCTCTTCTCCAATCTGCACCTGGTTGTGTCCTTCTCCCATTCATTTCTCTACTTAAATCTCTCCTATTCTAGGAGGTCATCCCTGATCACTCAAAAAGAACTTGCTGTGGGCTGGTTGGTTAGCTCAGTTGGTTAGGGTGCAGTATTGATAACACCAAGGTCAAGGGTTCAGATCCCCGTACCGGCCTGCAGCCAAAAACTAAAAATCTTGCCTCTCAGGTCATCTTGTTTTATATTTCTCATAGAACTTAGAGCTCTCTGAAATTCTTATTTATTAAACATTTTACGATCTATCTCTCACCTGTACAAGGTATGCTCCAGAAAACAGGAGCTTTGTCTATCTTGTTTACTGCTATATTGCCAGTATCCAGAACAGTGCCTGGCACATAATCAGTGCTCAAAAAAAAAATTGTTGAAAAGATAAATGGATGGATGGACGGATGGATGGAGAGTTTACTATATGCTAAATGTACTATTCTAGGCGCTTTGTAATCATTGTCTCACTTAATCTTAAATGACAGCCTTTCAGAGAGGTTAAGTCAGTTGTTCAAGGTCATACAGCTGTAAGTAGAAGAGAAACTATTCAAATTGACGTCTGTCAGGTTTTAAAGCCCAGGCTTTTAACCACTCTGTTATACTGCCTCCCCTGGCATAGAGCATTAATCTTGGAAGGGATTTGGGCTCTTATGTTGCCAGAGTTCACTAGATTGTCAGCCATAGAGAGCAAGAGATGGAGCACAGAGTTTAAATTATCTCTTTAATTATTATTATTAATAATATTAATATTATTTAACACCTCTCTCTACCAGTAGGCCACAATGACTACAAGTCCATCATTAGAGCCACTCCTTTTGGCAAGGGCATTGAGGTGTTAAAAAATATTATTATTATTATTATTATTAAATTATCTAGTTAAACTCAGCACAGAATTTGGCACCTAGTAGCCATTCAGTAAATAGTAGATGCTCAAATAATACTTGTCGATAGGTGGATGGATGAATGCATGAGTGGGTGGGCAGAGGAGTGGATGGATAGGTAGGTGGATGGATGGATGAATGGAAAAATGAATGGAAGGAAGGAAGGGTAGGTGGAGGGATGAATGAATTGATGGATGAGCGGGTGGATGGCTGGATGGATGGATAAATGGATGGATGGATGAATAAATGGATGGGTGGTAGATAGATAGAGAAACCGAGTCTCAGAGAGGTTGGTGACTCACAATCACATAGTAAGTCAACAGAGGAGGAATCAGAATTCACGACTCTTATCCCAGTGCTTGCTCTCTCACAACACCAAACATTTGAGAATGAAATTGAGTGTTTTCCTTGTAGTCTATGTAGTTACGATGATGGTGTTGATGATTGCTCCAACTGTGTGCCAAAAACTGGACTAAATACTTCATCATGGGATCCTCTCTATAACCCTATGAAATAAATACTATCATATCCTCATGCCATAAGGATATTATTATCCAATTCTGTCAATCACTCCATGTGATAAGTATTATTTTTATCCCTACTCCCCAGAAGAGAAAAATGAAGCTCAGAGAGGTTAAGTAACTTGTCTTTGCTATCCCTCAAAAAAGACGTGAGGCTGGGATCTAACTCTAGGTTTCCAATGGACTAATTTTAACTGCATGAGCTGATTTATTACATGGCAGCATATAAGGTGGACAGAATTGTGGACACAGACCATTTACTCTACAGAGAAGCTGGGATTGTCTCCCCAGGCAGCAGGGGTAACAGGAAATCCACCCTGACACCAGAACCTAGGCTAGAAGTATCCTGTTGTAATAGAGATAGCACAAGCCTGGGCAAAAGGTAGACCAAGTGTATGATATTGAGCAAGCCACTTTGCCTCTCTAAATCTTAGTTTTCTAATCTGTAAAATGGGTATCAAAATTGTGATGAGGAAAGATTTTCATCTGCAAGCTACTCTGGTTACTTGCAGAATTCTATTCCTATTATGGTATTTCTTCTGGCAAGAAGAAGGAGAAGAGGAGGAGGAGAAGAAAGAGGAAGAAGAAGTCATCCTGATATTGCTCCTAGATAATCCCCTTACGTTCCCGGCATCACGATTTCAAATAACCAGGTCTGTGTTCCATTCTCTCAGGACTTTTCTTTGTGCCATGCTTCAGCCGGCAAGTGGAATAAATGGAGTAAATCCCTGCCCACATGTTTAATGAGTCAATGATTTATGGTGTCACTTCTTCCCCATAAGACACCTGAGTGCAAGCAATGATCTTCTAGAACTTCAATGCAGTTGCCAAGAGGAGTGGCCCTAATGATGGACTTTTAGTCATTATGGTCTACTGGTAAGGAGGAGGTATTAAAGCACCAGGGGATATCCACCAAAACGTAGCACAGAGGCAGACACCAAATTCCTGGGAAGCAGCATGTTTAGATGAAATGGGTTCTGTCTTTGGACCCAGACCTGGCCTTAAATCTGCTGCGTCTCACAACTTCCCTGTTGAGTGAGCTCAGCTAGGTTGGGATCCTCTCTAGAGGTCAGATACTTATCTGTCAAATGGAGATAACCACATCTCATCGTCAGGATCATTGTGAAATTTAAATGAGAAACTCTGCACTATATGTACAGCACCTGGCAAACAGTAGATGCTTATACACATTCATTTCCCTGCCTCCAAAAATGGAACTGGCCTATGTCTTTGTTTTTCTTTCACTCACTTTCTCCCCTTTCCCTTTTCTTCCAAATGCCTTGCTTCTTTATGCTTCTATTCAACAAGTACTACTGAGTTCACACTGCATGCTAGTACTGTGCAGACGCTGAGCGTATGGTGGCAAATAAGACAGGCGAGGCTACTTTTTACAGAGCTTCCAGCCTAACATATAAAGCAATGGAGTGCTTCATCTTCCTTAAAGGAGAAATCAGTCCTTCTGCATCCCCTGCCTCAGCCTCCCTCTTTATAAAACCAATTGGCTTTGCTGCCAAGAATGGAAACTTGCAGCCAAGGATAGGATTTTGGGGGGGATTCTCTGTCCCCCAGAGCCTGAAAAAGTTCTGGGCTTTTAGTGAGTGACTTGTAAAAAAAA